AACCTGCAGATTGAGAGCGAAGTGCTCTGTTAGGAACATAAGGAACAATCAGATCTCTGATATCAGATGGAGCTTGGTTATTTAAGTTATTATATGTGAGAAGGAGGGTTTTAAATTAGCTAAAACATACTTGGCTTTTAGGTAAAACCAATCTCATGTTAAACTACGATTCTGGCAACTTTTGATTCACTGGATTATTTGTTCATAAAACAAAAATGTTTTCATCAAAGTTCTCAGAAACATCTGGTGAACTGAGGCTCCAGCAATGTTGGATTGAGTCCATTTTCCTGAAATATGTAGTATTACCATCTGCTTTAGAAAGGCTTTGATGCTGCAGTATTATTGCTGGTACTACTGACCTTTTGAAAGCTGCTGTTTCTGATTGATTTCATTGTCATTTTTTTAGATCAAAGATGCAATACAAAGCCCCTTTTTCTCACTGAAATAAAACATAACAGAACAAAGTGGTCACAGCAATAGATACATAAATGAGGCTTCAAAACAAAGACCACTGGTTAAATTCAAGGGAAATTTTAGAACCAGCACATGAACTTGAGCCTGTTTCATCAGAAGCGAAAGAGGCAATGAAACTCCCAGCAGATGCCAGGATTAAAAAGTGCTTTAGTTTGGGAAAAGTTTTATGTTTTTTGTGTAAATAACAGAACCTGAAAGAGCCTTAAAGTATTTTCAGACAACATTAAAGCGTAGTCATATAATTTCAGATCCAAAAAAGCCAAACTGAAGTGTGTATTTTATAAGATTTCAAATAATTGCAGGTGGTCACTCTATATTTTTTGTTACATTCTTTCAATATATGTAAAACATTTTATCCACCTCGCTGGAAGGTGGATTCTTCCTTACACCACAAATCCTTTGTCTTTCCTAGAAATGGGAGTGACGGTCTGCTGCTTAGGGCATAGAGCTTGGAATCCTGAGGTTCAGACTGCAGATCTGGGTCTCTGAGCAAAAGACCCTTAAAGGTACACTATGCAACCGGTGTTGATTTTCCAGCGAGGCTCCCCCCAGAGG